TTCAGAATTTGCCATGCCTTGGAGGAAATGAAAGGGAATGCCATTGAATAACCAGGAAACATGACTCCAAACTAAACGCTACGTCAGCTAGGTATGCCGATATGCACTAGTTAGTAGCAAATAAATTGAAATACCAAATCGTCATCACATCGCAGTGTGCCACTGACCTACTGTGGCTCCCCCTCTGAGTGAATTCCGCTCCCCGCCTTATATACTTCATCTCAGCCTCAGTTCTGTGGACCGTGAAAACTGCTTGACCTTATCTGCCGCAGCAGACGGACATTTCCTTACCATCTCCCCAAATAGACTGGGCTTTACTTTCAGTCAATGCTCTATCAAAGGCATCACCTCGGATTGCCCAGCCCCTATGCGGCGTGAATGATAGCCTGATCATGCGTCGGTTAGCTGGACTCTTAGAACAGCGAGCTGACCTCACTGCGGAACCTCAGGAGACAAGGATGGGTACCGCTCGCGCCTGCAGGATGGGACACCGCCGCCAGACTGCAAATGGCCGACACGGCGCCACCAACGAGCGCATTGCCGAGAACAGGCCACCGGGCCGAATCTGAATCTTGAGCACATTCTGCTGAGGGCGGCAATCTGGCGTGCCGTGTATTCCAAGTGGGCCTGATGCGACCGGCGCGCGCGATTAGCATGACAGTGCGGCGAGAATGACGCGGCGGCGGCGGTAGTGGCGCGCGAACGGGCAGCACAGCGCCGTCATCATCGCCCCATTGGCCGCAATCGGCGCCGCAATGGGCTTTTTATGAGGTTTGGCCCCTTCCGGACGCCACGAGCGGCGGACCGCCCGCCGACGGCACCAGGCCGCACTGTGCAGCTCGCACGGACTGAGGCGGCACAAGTGACGGTCAAAAGAAGACCGACAAACATCAGCTGATTAGAACAATCCGAACGGATTCCGCAGACGGACGGTTGCGTGAACTCACAGCTAGTTTTTTTTTCGGTGTGTGCGTGTCCAAACGGTTCGAGGGCTTCTCGGGAGCCCGCTGATCTACATACGAGTTGGGTGACCGGAAAAGAAATGGCGGGGCAGTGTCAACTGTCATCATCTGCAATGGTTGGCACAAGTGTAACAGAAGCATTTTTTAACATTCTTTTTTAATCAGTAAATGATTTAGGGATACGTTTTAATAGGTACACGGAATGAATGAATGTACCTATGGAATGAATGATCAGTTAAATAACTCTTGCCATTTTCTATGTAGACGAGTTTTAATTAAATGGGATCTACACCTCATTTAAAACACAATATAAACTGAATAAAATAAATTGAAATATCTAACATATTTTGTGAAAAAAGAAAAACTCTTGCAGGGGACTGCAAAAATGTACAATTTACGAGCTTGGCTTATATGGAATGTGCTTGAAAATATATCCTTGAACTCCATAAATGAAGCTTGCGAGGTGACGTAAACACTTTCGGTTTTGATGAAAGGCTTTTTGAGGTCAAGCTCGAGAAGCATCCTGATGCACAAAACATTCATTACATAAAATAGCTCTCAATTCTTTATTTTGTGGAGAGCTCTCTTCAAAACAGGTGGCGTATAGTATAGGAACCGGCGCAATGTCCTGCTCTCTTAGAGAGGGTTGCGCGATGTTTCAGCGCAGAATTTCAGCCGCCGGCGACTGTCGGCCATCCAGATAGCATTAGGCGTTTGGTTATCACACCGTCTGACTGGGCCGACACACCCTGGGGAAATCGGAGCTCGGCGAGACTGCCGACACCACTAATATCGCCGCACAGCGCTGCTCTCAACGAATGGAGCGGTCCCAGACGCGGCCACACAGCCGGCCGAAATCACACGACGAGCGGTCATTTGCAGCGCACCGCACCCCAGAGCCGAGAAAATGACGCCGGCACGGCCAAAGGCTTGGGTATTAATGACGTTCAGAATTAGTGCTCAGGCCATAAATATGGCTTACTTCTTCTGTGCTGTTGCAGGTCATGGCATATATATATATATATATATATATATATATATATATATATATATATATATATATATATATATATATATATATATATATATATATATATATAACTATATATATAACTATATATATAACTATATATATATATATAACTTTCACCTATAGGTGAAAGTTCGTTGGCTTATTCTCGCAATTTATTTTCGTTCTTGTAGACTAAAGAGACCTATCGACTGGCGTTTGGATTTAGAAACTAGGTTCGGTAGATAAAGAAATATCTGGGGGGAGGGGCGTGCGTAGATAACGTCCCATTGCAATCGCCACATAGAAGGATATCCAGGAGCCGCCACTAATGTACTTAAGCAAATGAAAACAGTAAACATTTCTCGTGACGCGATTAGCAAACAGCACAAAGATGTTCATTAATTTATGTCTGTGGAAGTTAAAGGGAGATAATGACCTTTTTCCACAAAATCTGAGTTAGGATCATTTTCTGACAAAACACAACAAGTTATAATGTAAATTAAAACCATTTTGCTCAATGCGGTACCTTGCCGCAAATATCTCAACTTGAAGTCACGTTAGCGGGGAGCGCTGAAAATGACCGTTGAATAAGTACTTACATCACTTTTTGGTACTTGCATGTAATTTTGTAAAATGAGCGTATTCCTTACATTTGATCTTCATCACATCTAGTTAGTTAATGGTCGTCTATAGTGCCTTCAAAAGATATTCATGGTTTGGGGGTGGTTTATGTCTAAATTTACGCAACTATTTTTCCTGTTCATCATCTGAGGCCATATGCTGCTATTTTAGTAGCAACGACTCAATTTTGAATCGGTCCCGCCGACTGCACAATAAAAGAAGATAGATACAACACTTTTGCGGCATCACTGAAAAACTTATGCAGTACTGTTATCAAAATTCTCATAACACCGTTCGACAAACCTGAAGTCTTTTTGAAATAAATATGCTTGTATTTTTCGCTTCAGGCTCTGAGGCCAAAATAATGAATTTCGTAGTCGCAATCGCAAGATTTGGCTGCGTTTCTGGCGCATGCCGTTCATTTGTGGCGCAAAATAATACTTGGAAACAAAGAAGAGTAGGCACTTTGTACGAATCTACTTAATTCTAAACCGAATTAACTCTAATTCAAATTAGAATCCTTACAACCAAGCAACGACAAGGCGATAACATAAACAAAAACCCAAGCGTCGCTGTTTGAAACAAAAGCGCCATATACTGCGACTTTTTTTTATAGAGAAGGACAAGAAGGACAACGCATTTCGGTGGGTGTTACAAGTACTGCAAGTACTGCTTCTTTTTTGCAAAAATAAAAACCTTTTTCACATACGAAAATGTGCTAGGAAATTTTCATATTTTATAGAAACTACAGTAGAAATAGTATAGATGTCGAGTAATTTTTATTAAAGAAAAAAGAAAGCTCATTATCTCCCTTTAATAAATATCAATTGGAAAACAAAATAAAAACTACTAATGTGAAAGCTACATCATCGTACTTGCAAGTGCCATTTATTCGCGACCTAAATGAATTGCGACTGTGATCATGCGACATGGCTCGCCAAATTCATCCACAACAACGTACACAGTGAACACATCATCCGCCGCTAATGCGTTGTTTATATTCATGCATACCATTGCCAGTGTCTTTCCCGAAGCTGCTAGTGAAATCTGCATACGATCTTTCTTCCTAGTGGATCCATCACGCGGGTCCCCTCGACGCACCCAGCTGCTCGCTCTGCGGCTCCACTCCTCCCCCTATACCATCTATCACACAATTTGGCAGCCTAATCTTGGCACCGGCGCTGCAAAGTTCCACGCCGCGTGGCTTGATCAGATGCATCGAAGTGGCTTATTTGACACACCCTAACTTAGGCACTCGATTGTGTCCCCTGAGCACACATTTATACACCTTCATAAACACGACGGTGGTACAAATTTAAGGTCATTAGCTTATGACGGATAAATTAATCACAAAACTGATCAGCACATTTATTAAACCCGCGCCCTGCTGGGCAATTCACTCAGCCATAGGCGGCGTGTTAGGGGGGAGGGGCCGATTAAGAAATTAAAAATTCAGCCAAGAATATCTGAAGTTGACCTAAATTTAACGTGAACGTCGCACTCACCATGAATTATGAGACAAACATATGTTCTTGCCAACATGTTATTTTGTTCGTTAGACGAAGGTTGGCTCCAAATATCGAAGTAGGCATTCGCCTGCACCGCCATTCGTTCATTCGCTAGACACTATCCATCATGCACTGACAAACAGCCATTTTTGCAGCAGACACTTCAAAGCATGAGAACAATAAATGCCCGTGCGAGCCTTACTCCGACCACTACCCCGTTTATCGGAGCAGAACTATCAGCAGTGATTTCGCGCCATGACGGCCAGATAAGAGGGGACCGTGGCCGACTCCAAGGCGAGACGCGGCGAAACATTTCGAATCCCTACATTACTGGCCATAGTCAAGGCCCTAAAAACATAGTGACCGTGGTCATAGTGACCACGATATAAGACACCCCAGATACAGACCTGTGTCACATTGACATCGTCTTAATGCATTTATTTGTCGCATTACCTATTGATTTCCTTAAAAGCGATTTTATGTAAAGAAGCTTATATCGTTCGTCGAAGGCGTAATCTTGAGCGACGATTAGCTTCAATAACATAGTTTTTCGTTGAACAGATGTCAATGTGTGGTATAGAACATATGGCTTTTTATTGCGCGTATGATCGCGTTGACCGTTCTACGTTAAGGTGAAAACCTTTGACTTTGTATTGAGCATTGTACACTTATATAATCACTAATCCCTTGTATTCGAACGGTGGACACAATGGCAGTAAAAACGCCGTTCAATTATCATAAAGATGAAACCTTGATAATGCAACGTTGGAGTTCCATTGCACTATTAATTTTGATGCAAGAATTCCGGTCGCCTGTAAGCTGCGGCGTAAGCACTTGTAACATTTTAACCCCCTTCAGTTCAAGTCAACAGTCTCGAATCCCCGCCCTAGCCCGTACCTGATCGACAGGGTCGAGCGGCTCCTCTGCGAGCTGTCAGACGGTCCCGCGGAGCCACCACAGACCCGACACCTCACACACTCCGACGGGCGCGCGGCGCGACTGGACTGTCGACGCCGACGGGCGCGCCCCCCGTCAGGGGTGCTGTGACGTCACCGCATCGGCCGCGGCGCGCCCCCAGTGGAGGACGATCGACGCGAGGTGCCCGGTCGCCGGCTCAGGGCGTTTACGGCTGATGAGAGCATCCCATCCGGCCTCTTCCCCTGCTCAGGGCGCCCGTGATGGCTCGGTGATGGCACCAGGTTGGTGATTGCACCCTTATCTGGCACTGATGCCACCTGCTGGCGCACAGTGGGTAATTGTATATCTGAGGTGGAGGTTAGTGCCACCAGGCACGTGGCGAGTGTTTTACGACCCCAGTCCCAATTGTTTTACTTGTTTCTACAATAATAAGCTGATGCGAATGTAATGAGAAGTTCCAGGCGGCGTTTAGCTCCAGCAATAACTAGGATTTCGAAATCAGAGTCGGAGTCGGAGTCGCCCGGAGTCGTGGCAACAAGCCACGAGTCGGAGTCGGAGTCTGAATAGTCCAAGCTGCCTCTACTCCAACTCCAGGAATGTGCACTAGAGTATGAGCTGTGGCATGCCCATTAGGCTGGTAATAACACAAACATGCACCTAAAGTAAGTAAATTTTACGTATTTTTGCATTGGCTTGCATTAGTATTGGAAAAAGACAGACTGCGACCTTACTATTTAACCCTCGTCGGCACAGGCCATTTTGCGTCCTTCGACGGCACGAGGGGGGGGGGGGGGTACGACCCCCTCGCGTTTGGCCCCTGATCGAGCTAGAGCTTCGCGGAAAAAAACGAGCGTGTTGCCCGTCACAAGAGGAAGCCGATGTTATCCAATTTTAAGGTCCTAGGTCATCGGGTGACCTTCCAGGTTAGGTCAATGACCCGAAAATCAGGAAAATCGGGACCTGTTGGAAAGCCGTAAAGTGTGACTGCGATGGGGTTTTCCGGGGTGCTGATCACGAATATCGTGTTAATTTTGATCGGAGATGATGTCTTTAGACCAGGTCGGGTCAGGTCAGGTCAGGTCAACCGGTAGGGGTCGTGACGGGTATTCGCAATACGTGTCAACCGCCTCTGACAGCTTCGTAACATGTTAAGAAAGCACCAAAACTAATTCGTAAATGTTCAAATGGTTGCAAAATTCGAAATCAGCTCCAAAAACTAGCCTAGAAACATGTGAAACTCAAAAAAGTGAACCGAGGTCGCCAAAGGTCAATGACCTGACCTGACCTTCAGGTGACCTTGACATCCACCCTAATGCATGGGAGCAACATCAAATCACATGTTTGAACGTTTGAAACCACGAAAAGCTTGCAAACGCGCGGCTAATGCGAGCCGACATACATACGCCGAATCGCGATTCCGGCCAAACATGGTCTCGGAAAGTAGGTCACAGGTCAAAGGTCATTTGGGTCAGGTCATGAAATTTTGAGGGTAGGTGGAAAATTAAGCAATGCGAGGGTACTGAAAGTTTCGTCGCGATTGGCCGCTTTTTACGCGAGTTATTCGCTAAAAACCTTAGGGGTGTTGCATCAACCCCCCCCCCCCTGGGCCGGTAAGAGTTAACCCGCGCCCTGATGGGGGGACCATTTTGCCCCCCCTGTGGTTTTTCTTAAATAGCGAGAAAACGGCGGCGCTCAGCGCCGCCAAATTTTTGGTACCTTACCGGGCATCAATTTGACACCTTCACACAAAATTTCAAGTCACAGGTCACCTCAGGTCAGGAGTTATTGAGGTCAAACTGAGGTCATGTTCGAGTAAAAATGAGCAAAAAACATGACATCTTTAAACGCTCACAAATTCTACAGTTAACAAGCAATTTTAAAGTTCTTTATGTGGTTGTGTAGAGAAAAGACGGCGCTACAAAACTGCTATCTCAGATTTTCGAAATTTTGGGATTTTGACCCCCAAAAATCAAAAAATTGATTTTTTTAGAAAAACTCAAAAAATTTCCAAAAAATTTTCGAATTTCGAAAAAACCGGAATATATGTGATAGTCCCTGCGCTCTTCGATAAACATACCAAATTTTAGATAGAAACCTCTTTTTTGGCCAAGTTATAGCGAAAAAACTGTTAAAAACTGATGACGTCAAATTTTTGAACTCAATTTTTAGCAATTCTAGACCTCGTAGCGCAAAACGGAGACCACCATTGAACTCCCCGTGACGAGCTGCGTCGAATCGATACCGATTTTATGCAAAAATATCAACTTTGAAATTTGACCTAATTTGACCTGACCTTGACCTGACCTTGACCTGACCTTGACCAAAACGTGACCTAAGCTGGCCCTAAAGTCTGTCTGACCCACATAATCGCATTTGTCATGTAAAACGGACCATAAAACTATCACACGACACTTTCATATTGTGACCCCCCAGTGACCTGACCTCTGTGACCTGACCTGGTATCAGTGACCTCAAATAGCAAAATATGTGTTTGAAGAACATTTCCCCATCGATGATTTTCAATGAAATGCATTTTACTCGATTTTACAACGCATTTCTTGAAATGCCTGTAAACGGTGAAAATTCGACCTTTGACCTGACCTGTGACGTCATCGGTTTGACCGAGGTCAATGAAATTGGGTTACAAGGTAGTTCCCCGTTGGGGCTATCCAACACCGTTTACCGCTTGTCGCTATGTTGCGTGGTTCTCGAGATCTGAGGGGGGCCAAAATGGCCCCCCCCAATCAGACCGCGTTGCTCGGCAGACCCCATCTGGGCGCGGGTTAAGTTAATCCCAGTCCATATCGTCCAAGTATACATTGATCCTCAAACCGAGCAACTTTTCCAATGCAATTGACTTAAAATAGTAATAATAGCTTATGCTCAGCAATAGGCTTAGAAGAAAAGTTTCCGATTTTCCATTAGGTGTTTCAATACATTAGAATAGATGAGAACATTAGGTTTTTATTACATTAGATTATGTTATCACATAAGTTTTTAAAAACATTAGATAGATAAACACTAGAAATAATATTTATCTCAAAAGCAGCATAGGTGTCCCATAAATCGTCTGGTATGCCGTTCTGCGGCAAACAGCTGAATTCCTCTCCAAATATTCCCGTGGCTGCTCGAAAACAGCTCTGATATCCTCAAAAATCATACAATCTCCTTTGTTATTTTATCTTTTGTACTAATAAGTCACAGGAACAGCTCCAAATCGTATAGAACCGGAAACAAAAGTCCATGATATAAGGGCCAAAGCTGTTTGCTAGCCGGCTCCCTGCTGGGGCTTCACCTCTCCGGTTTTCACAAATATCTTTAAAAAAAAACGGGGGCGCGGAGCTCCACCGTTTCAGCATACCTTAGCATGCATCTTTTTTTGCATATGTTATGAAAATTGCAGACCAAGGTCTCCCATGGTCAGATCACCAGGTCACGTCAAGTGACCTCACCTCAGAAAAAAGTTCCATCGCTTGCCCTAGCTACAAGTGATGGATCGCTTTGAAACTTTCGGTAATTCATAAGGACAACAGTACAGGTATGTATAGATGAATATTTCGGAAACTTAATGTGAGTGACGTAAGGTCAGATCAATTTTGCGACATCTCCATTACTTATAGGTCAATGGGAGAAAATTGGAATGGGCTTCTTCTTGAAAAACATCATTCTAGACATCTTCAAACAACGAATTACAAGTAAAACTGACACACCGAATCGGTAAATGGCACCCGTGACCTTACTTTAAAAGGACCCTCCCACCTTCAAAAAAGTTAATGAATTGGCATGAAAGTGATGTCCCTTGGTTCAGAAAGAGCGAAAACGAATATCTACCAAATTTCACCGAAAAATATTCACTGTTTTCAAGATATTAGGCTTTTACTTTTGTTTACTTTTTGGAATCTCCCCTGTTACTAGCGACTTTATTTGGAAGCAATAATTTGGCAGCCTTAAAGTGCGGCAGACGTTGCGCGCAAAGCAGCGTATACCACCACGTGTTAACGATGGTTTTAGTCTAAGATTTAAAAATCGTTAGATCTCCGCTGACGTCACAAATTCTAAGGGGGCATTCCAATGCATTAGCCCCTTAGAATCCGAAAACTGCAAGTTTGAAATTCCATATCTTCGAATTAAAGCATTTTTCGATGTTGTGAGTGCCCAAACCGGTATTTGCAGGCCATGGCCACCAATTTGGCTATCTCAACTCAAAACTAATGTTAAGGTGGGAGTGTCCCTTTAAAGGAAGGGTGCCACCTTCCGAAATTTTTGTTCTATGAATCTATTTTACTTATTTGAATTTTTAGACGTGGTTAGCGCGTCCACAATATACAAAAAAACGAAACATAGCATTTAATACATTGGCCAAAAAAAAGATCGTTGTTTATATCACCACTACAACTCAAGGTCGTTTGATGTGGCAGCTAGGACGGCTGGCATATCCTGTTGTCATGGCAACATATCATTCTGCCATTTGCATTGATGGCGCAACTGAGACAAAAAGATGAACAAATAAAAAGGAAGAAGATAACATGATTTGAACTAAGTTGTAGGTACTGTTTTAGAGTCATATTTTTCCCAGGTTTATGTTTGTAGATATAAAAACTTTATCGGAATTCACCGGGATTGTATTGCGTATGCAAGTCCAAATATTTCGGCCAATATTGTTTGGCCTTGGTCACTGGACAACTAGAATAACCCTATAAGTATAGCTCACATTGCAGCGATACCCAAAATTCTAAATTAAATTCACAGACAAAAAATCAAATCCCCGCGCGCTATCAACCATGTAGGAGATTCCAAGTTAAGAATATCTAGATACACTCACTATTTCCTATCAAAGTATGCTGTAAATTTAACTATAAAATACATACAAACACACAGACAAGAAGTTATACACAGAACACATTCGGTGTCATTAGTTTTAATTCAGTCCACTCATACTACAGTGATGAGAGGAACGAAAATCATCTTGCGTTTTTTAGAGGCAAATCCCAAATTGGGCTCAGTGCGAATTTTCCAACACCTCTGTTCATATCTGGATCCTTCTCTTTTATTTCGATGGCCTCGCGCACTGTCCTCTTCCTCCAATCACTGACATAGGCTACTGTTCTTGCCTCCAAAGGGCGCATCTGACCAGAACACTCACTTGCGTGTC